TCTTAGTTGAAAAAAATTCTTTATCTGAAATACAAATATAACAGATTTAAAATCGTGATATTAAACGTACCACGTCACACTCTGTGCAACTTTTTCGTCCCGAGTGAAGAAAAAAAATGCGTTTCTGGTTTTCTTTAAGATTGGAACGTTCCTGCACAATCGAGCGTCTCTGATAAATTATCACCGGACGCTAAATGATCTTTTCGAGGAGGAACTTCTACAGAACGAAAAAATCCGGACAATAATACTTTCGTCCCTGCCCACAATATACACCCTAGCATACACATATTCTGCCTTTGTGATAGCAATGATGTTCACATTTTCTATGCCTGCTTATTTATCCATAATCGTCGGTCTTTGTCGTTCCCAGTCAACTACGAATTACAGCCTACCATTCACTAGGGGATATGGATACTTTTGGACCGTTCCGCACAACTATTTGTACCATTTTCATCTGCTCTTCGAGACGGGCAACATATCGATCATCGGCATCGTGGCATGCGGCTTGGAGAGCGCTTTTGGCTTTTATATCTATCAGTTCGCTTCAATAATGCACGCCATGACCTTTAGGCTCACAAATCCTTTGCCCACCGAAAACTTCTCAGATGTCCTAAAGTTATGCGTGGCAAAGCATCAGAAACTACTGCCATGCCGCCATACGTTGGAGCACATCTACGGACCCATTGTCTTTTGGCACATTGTCACCAACGCCGTGCTTCTTTGCGCATTGATATACGATGCGATGTCAGTACGTGGATACATTCATTACGCGTGTAATATTTTTTTAAACATGTCCAATATTATTACATGGCGCAAATGTTTCATGATATAATACTAATTGTTAAACATTTGCAACAGATTACGGACTTCAATATTTTCAACATAGGCGCATTTGTGACTTACGCTGCAATAAAATTTCTCCAAACGTTTACGTATGCATGGTATGGCACACTCCTCACAAATGCGGTAAGTTTTAATAATTTACCAAAACAATTATAATAACTCAAAATAATTTCTCATATATGTATATACTATATATTAACTATATCTATATGTTTAGAGCGAAGACTTTCGTAAAGGAATATATTTTAGCGAATGGCCTAATTCTGATCTGGATCATCACGTGAGAACAAAAATCATTATAATGATGATGCAAAAACCAATGACGATAAACGCAGTTTTCTCTCTCGTTGACATGAACATGTTCACTAATGTAAGTATTGAAATTCTAATCGACTGAGTAAATCTTTGTGAAACCTTATGATTTTCGACAGAATTGTTTCAAACTTTGTAGAGCCATCGCTTTAAAATTATATCTATATCTCATTTTTACGAAAGCTGAAGATTCAAAACTTAAGAGACTGAGAACGCACAAAATGTGATTACGATATATTATCTTGAGTAAATAAATTAAAATATTTTGCACTAATTCTATTTTTTTAATTACTTTAAATTAAACCTATATTGTAGAATTTAAACAAAACATATAAAAATATAAACAATTAAGAGATTTTAATTACTGTTCCGAATATGTCAATCAAAAACTTCTCTTTATCATTGAAGTGATTTCTTTGAATTATTTTCGACTTCATTTCTTACAGAGTTTGGAAAAGTCTCTACATCATATTATAACATTTACTATTATGTATTTTCCACATATTAAACTGATTTTAATCGTTTTATTTTTATTTGTAGTTTGTTAATACTACAGTGTCCTATTTCTTCCTGTTGCAATCTATCAGTGATAAAGGCAAATAATGATGAATGCTACATATGTTTTGTAAACTTTGGCAAAACTTGTAAAATTGTTACGTCATTAATAAATTATTTTAATTTAGAAAGTAAAAATTTGTATTATTGACACCATTTATTATTACGTTATTAATGCTTAATAAATGCGTAAACCATTATATATTATAACAATAACATACCATATTATCACTGATTATTGCGTTTTATCTTTATTTATCTCAAATGACAATAACTTTACGTGGTATCATATCAATAGTAATCAACAAAAATTTAGCAGGTAAACTTACTGAAAGGTGAGAAACGATTTCATTTACGCGTATGTTTATTGAGATTCTCGAGTCACACACTGACCTACTAAAAGTCAGAGGAAATATGTCAATATATCGTAGACACGCTAGCAAAAGAAGTATCGAGCGTAGGTGACTGAACGGGACTCTTTTGTATAGACGTCTGCTTATATCCTCAGACCAATCAAAGTTCTAAGTGTAATCGATACTGTTTCGTTCACGTGCTCCAAGCTATCAACGGCACACCGACAATGCTTCGATCGATACAGAGGCTTTCTTACCATATCTCATAAGTAAAGAGAATCGTAAAACTGTCTGTCTCAATTGAGTAAAAATGGACAGCGGTAATCTTGATGCCATATCCTATGTGACTCACAATCTACAGCTTCCCGTAAGTTT